GTGGGGATCTCTGGATTTGTTGAGTTAAAAGAATTTATCCTAGAGGACATTGTAGAGGTCTTATCCCTGGGACATAAATCCAGATCTTAACATCTAGATCTGTTTTAGCCTCATGGGAAAATGAAATTATTTTAATAGTAATACATTTTCCTGTTTATTGCTTCTTTTCCTAATTCTTCCCTTCACAGAAACCTATTTACTTTGCTGTGAAGAAACATGCTTTCTAAATAGGTACCAAAGGTTTACAAATAACATGAATAGATTTCATGTATTTAAGCATCTATAATGGTCAGAATCTTCAAATAGCCCTATATCAAGGGGTTAAATTGAATAAGAAGGTGACAATGCATCTTATTTCTCCTAACCTGTTTCCAACATTGACATCACTCTTTGGGTAGAGCCAGTAATCAAAGCAATAATTTGCAATTTCTGAGACCATGACTTTGATTATTTTAAAAGAATCTACATGGAATCATACTTTGCAAACTCAACATTACACATGATGTTTGTTGTTCCCTAAGAGCAGAGCCTAAACTGGGAGTCCTTTTCCTGGAGTCCCCTTCTCAATGGGGTTCTAATTTAAAGTTTGTCAGTGAGAGGACTTGGTGAAAAATTGGAATTTGGAAGAGATGCAGAGGCTATTTTTCTCCAGAGGTGTTTGTAGTCAGTTTGAAGAGCAAAGCAAAGGTAAGATCCATAGTAACTTCTCACTCATTGTATTATAACTACCTGCTATTCTGCTAAGACTATTGGTAAGCACTTTCTCAGAAATTACTGAAAGTCATTGCCACTTCCTCCTAAGCTTTTCTGAACCATTCTCTTCAGCCTTAGATGTGAAATCTCTAGCATTAGTTTCCTCAACCTTGTTTCTGGTGCTCAAACTTTTGCTCCCTCAGCTCTTAAAAAAAGTTGAGTCTTGGAGTTTGCTACATAAAAAGAGTAGGAGTTAATCTGGGGCTGAAATGGGTCCCTAAAATGAGTAAAAACTGAAGGATGGTGTTTATCCATATGTGTCCTTCTTCTTTTCCTCTAGGGAAAATTTCTGAAGCCCCACTGCCTTGGAGTAGAGTCATCAGGACATAGGGGAACCACTCCTTCCAATTAATTCCCTTTTGTCAGACAGCTTATTTCTTAAGGACATTTTGGGAGGATAGAGGCCTTCATTGGTATCTAAGGATATGAAATGTAATCACTTTTCACACTGATCAAAGTAAATGATTCAGTTACGTGAAGATATTCCTCAGAGAATTAAAATACCTAAGTATTGGAATAAGGGAGTGAAAGCTGAGTATGACAAAAGGACATTAGATATTCTACTAAATCATATCAGCAAAAAAGAATTAACTGTGGATGCAGGAAACAGCATGAGTGAACCTCAAAAATACTAGATTTGACATGGTGTGGTTTCCTTTATCAGAAATTTCAGAAAATGCAAAACTAACCTATGGGGTCTAAAAGAACACCAATGTATAGCTCAACCCAATGGCAGATGGAGGTGGGTTTGGGGCAAGAGGATGACTGGGAAGAGACATAGGGAGCTGTTTAGTATGTTGTAAATATTACCTATCTTTATTGTTACATGAGTGTGAATATTTGCCCAAAAGCTTTGGTTTAAAATGATTGTTTGCTATTGTATGTCAAATATACTTAAATAACCTGGTGAAAATTGACACAAGTAGGATTGATTAGGATACTTTTAATTTATAAATTATTTTAAATATATGGAAAGTTTCCCAGATATAAGTAAACTATACCTTACATTTCTTTCATGGATTGTTAACACTTATAGGCTTTGGAGACTATAGAGTAACATAAGCTATTAGACCCAAACCCTGGAGTTAAATTATTTCTATGTCAAACAACAAGTCATAATCCCTACAAATACCATATTCTTAATCATTGCAACTCCCCAGAATAGGTTTCCTACAGAAACCTATTCCTACAAAAACCTATTCTGTAGGATCTAATTTATTTACATATTTTATACCTCTGATTACAGCATTCTTGTAATAAGAACTTCCTTGTTCATCTTTCAAGGTCTATGATAAGTGATGGTTTCTCACAGAAGGTTACTTTGATCTTTAAAATTAATAAGATTTTCTACCTCTTTTCTATCAAAGCATCTATTACGTTACATAATAATTACCAGGTTATGTATTCATCTCTGACAGTGTCAGCAACACAAAATACTTAAGAACAGGTGCAATGCTTAGCAATTAACACACATATATTAAAATGATTATGTGAGTATATCTAGCAAGGTTCTTTTACAAAGCATTCAGGACATAAAACTGCCATTTATGAGAAGAGATATCCCTAGGCAAAGATAGAAATTAATATTCTCGATTGAAGAAGGCAGTTTACTACTAGAAAGTAGGAAGATGTACTCAAAAAGAAGAACATAGAAGGCTGCAGAGTACAGAGAGATTTAATAAACCTAATATGATAAAAATCCACAAGGGGAGAAATGACAGAGATTTGAACTAACATAATTGAAGACTGTATTCAATTTTTGCATTCATGTTCCAACAGTGTGTTATCTAGACCCAAATTTTGTCTCACTCTTTTGAAAATAACAAAATCTTTGCAGCGTATCTTTGAGAGCTTCTTTCACCTGCTGGTTCCTTAGAGTGTAAATGAAGGGGTTGAGTAAAGGGGCAACAGAGGTATTCAGCACAGCTACTCCTTTAATTAAAGTCACCTTTTCCTTTGCTGATAGTTTCATATATGTAAACATACAACTCCCATAAGTAATAGAGACAACAACCATGTGCGAAGAACAAGTGGAAAAGGCCTTTGTTTGTTGTTGAACAGAAGGAAATTTTAGAATGGTTTTGATGATGTATGTGTAGGAGAGTACTACTAACAATAATGTGATGACAAGCGTCACCACAGCTAAGATAAAAGCTATCAATTCTAGGACATGTGTATCTGTGCAAGAGATCTGCAGAATAGGAGAAGTGTCACATAAGAAGTGATCAATAGTTTTGGAAGCACAGAAATCCAGCTTGAGCCCCAAGACCATAGGGGGGAAAATGGTTAGGAATCCAGTTGCCCAAGAGCTGAGTACAAGCTGGTAGCATACTTTGCTACTCATAATCATTGGGTAATGCAGTGGTTTGCAAATAGCAACATAGCGATCATAGGACATGGCAGCCAGGAGGTAAAACTCAGTAATCCCTAATAGAAAAAAAAAGAATAATTGAGTTATACAATCAGTGTAGGAAATTGTTTTATCTCCAGTCAGAATACTCATCAAGAATCGTGGAATGCAGGCTGTTGTGAATGAAATTTCTAAGAAGGAGAAATTTCGAAGGAAGAAATACATTGGAGTCTTGAGATGGGGATCCAGTAGGGTGAGGAGGATGATAATTAAGTTCCCCATCAGGCTTAAGATATAATTAAAAAATAGAAAAAGAAAAATCACGATTTGTAGCAGAGGGTCGTCTGTCAGTCCAAGCAGAATGAACTGTATCTCCATTGTTTGGTTCTTCATTTTTCTTTTGTCCCTTCAAATCCATAGAAAATAAAAACTAATATCACAAGTAAGAAAAGATATTTTTTTCATTCTCAGCTGTAGAACGTTCCATATTCAGAAACTTATGTTCAAATATTTTACAAATCAATTTAGAGTTCATCAAAATGAACATGTCCTCCAATTCATCATTCATGTTTACAAGAATGCAGAGAGATTTTTCTCTTGTGCAGGGTTAATTCTTACCACTTTACAGGAGGCTTGTCAGTCGGTTGAAATGTAGTTTCATAATTTGGTTAGTATTAATCTATAATCCATCTTTCAAGCACTTTATCCCAATTGGCTGTTAAACATTTAATATTTTTGAATTTCTAAAATTAGCTAATATCTCAAGTAATTTGTTACTTAAGATATTTATTCATTCATCATCAATTCCACTTTATATTTTATTTACTTAATTTTTTTTACTTTTCTTCAGGTTTTCTAACTCCATCTGATTGACTACTTGTATACTTTATCAACTGCCTTTAGATTCAACATTAAAATTACTAACTTTCCAGTAAGCCATTAACAATGCCTCAATTCTATATGATAGAAATAAAACAAACAGAAAAACTAAAATTAGTCCTCATGTATTTTATGTTCCTTTTTTCTTTCTTCCACATAGAATGGTCTCCTATTTCTTTCTTATACAAATATAGTAAGAAGCTATGTATTTTTATTTTAGATATAGAATGATTTTGAGTGATAGTTGCAGTTCTTGTTAGTGACTAGTGTTGCAGTTACATTCCATAGTTACTCTTTATAATCTGTTTATTGTTCACTATTTTCTTTGCACTAAAGAAAGGTTTCTTTGTCTTAGCCAATTTTCAGAATTGCCAGACAACATTCAAAAGGGCTTTCTTTTATTTTCTTGTTATCCTTTTGTATATATATATGTATATGTATATATATATATATATACATATATATATAATAGAAAAAACATATAATAGAAAAACCTATAATAAAAAACCTATAGTAGAAAACCTATAATAGAAAACCTATAATAGAAACCTATAATAGAAAGAAATAAAATGGCACATAAGTGACTTTTTATTTTTGATTAAATTTTTAAAAATATTTCTCTGCTTTTCTAGATAACTTGATATTCTTTTATGTACACATATTCTTTTTAAAGTTACTGAATTCCTAGGATCTTTGTTTTAAACATATCTGATTGTTTTCTACCAGTCTTAATTTGTATATCCTTCATAATAATATGTTAATGCATGCATAATAGTTCTTACAACATAAAAATATTCCTATATTTTTATCTCTTGGGGTTTTTCATTAATCATTCTTTCATCGTAATAAAATGTACATGTAATGTATATGCATATGTATTTTAATACATAAATACATTATAATAATACATATTATTTGTAATGTAATAAATATAAATTTATCTTTTGTTGGATTCTGTGGAAATGTCATGATGTGGCAGACTAAATATAACTAGTAAAGACATCATTTCTTTATTTCATCATTATTCTAGTAATTGCAATCTTAGTTTTGCGAAACACAATAGCTAGATTTATCCTTTAAATATAAATGTTTTTTAGATTTTCTTAAAATTCAAATTGTATTTCTGCATCAAAACATCACATGTATCCTACAAAGATATGTACCTATTATGTACCCATAATAATTAAAAAGAAAAAGAAAAAAATGTAAAGAATACCTGCTCTCTAATTTTCTCTCCATGATTCATCTGATACTACTGTAAGCTCATAGAGATAGATTGAGATAATGAATTAGAGACTCATTTGCATATCAAAAAATGCACACTACTACATTTTATGTATTTATGTGTACATGTATATAATAGATATTTTCACTTCTTTGTCTTAAAAAATTAAATAAACAAGACAATTTAAGAAAAAATTTAATTCCTAGACTTGGATTTCCAAAGTTCTTCCCTAACTTCTGTTTCAGAAAAAGATCAGTTAAAAATTATCTGACTCGAGGGGGGAGGGGAGGCAAGGGCAATGCATGTAACCTTAACGTTTGTACCTCCATAATATGCTGAAATAAATAAATAAATAATCAATCTTACCAAAATAAAAAAAAAAGAAATTATCTTACCTTACAACGAATATATTAAATTTGCTTTTCTGTTATGGTGCAGGGTGAAATACAAAGGCTAACAAAATTTAGGATGATTATAATAATTTCAAGACATCATTCAATTATTTAAAAGGATATGATTTAAATAAAGATGAAATGTAAGAATTATTTATGTTTCAAAATACATCCTGCTTCTACTTAAGTTCATATTCACTATACATATCAGGATTCAGATACTAACAAATCCTAATGTATCTCTATCATTCTTTCATGTCTTGTTAAATTTTCCAAAAGCTTTAATCAATATTTAACTAAATGAGTTATACCAAAAATTAAAACCTAGGTAAAAGAACAACCTTTAAGTAGAGAAATTTAACATACCTCATGCTTCTAATTAAGCTATAATTTTATAATGTTTTTGTTTTTGCTCAACAAAGACACAAGGGAATCTTTTGAAATCAGAAAGCAAAAGAAGGTGGAAAAGGTTTTCCCTAGAGACTGCTGTTCAGAAAGTACTATTTATGTATACGTAAAAGCAATCTACATTGTTTCTAAAATCTAGAAAATATGCAAAACAAAAGAATCAATTTTTTTTCACAGTACTGAGGCAATATGAGAAAATCTGCTGGACTGGGTTTTTGTTTAAAAATTCTTTTTTGTTACTTTCAATAAAAAATAGTGAAAATTAAAAATGTATCTATAGTAGGCTTGGATATTGCAGATTAAAACTTAAAATGAGGGTTTTAATTGTAAACTGGTAAAACACTGCCTGAGTATTCAAGTGTTATATGAAATTTTTATTAAAATAGCTCAGTATAAAAATTTGAAATATAAAGCATTAAATTGATCTGCAAAATATAGACAACTATTTTATACAGAACTGAGTTGGGGAATATTCATGATAAGTCATGTGATGTGGACCTTCACACTCTAATTTCATGACTGACTACAGAAGACTAAGCTAAAGAATTTAGCATGAAACAAATCAGTTTTTCTTCTGAAATTCAAAGCAGTAGTCACTAATGATGAGAGGAGAACTGAGTAGTACATAGCTTTCAGTGGATATTCTGGTTTGGAGTGGCAAAATGTGGGGTTATTTATTTATTTATTGCTGTAATAAAATGTGTTCTACAAATCTCTTCCCATAAATCTCAGTAAATTCTAGCAATGCCTGAAATTTTCATGATAATTGTGTAGTAATTTTACTTTTTCTGTCTAACATATTAATTAGGAAACAACATCCTAACTTTTGCATTTGGACTGCCTGGCTGTTGGTGGGTATGTAAAATGGTATAACTGCTATGGAAAATAATAATGAGGTTCCTCAAAAATTAGAAAATAAAATTACTATATGATTACAGCAATCCCAGCTCCAGGTTCTGGGTACATATGCAAAAGAATTGAAATAAGGATCTCAAAGTGATACTTGTACTCCCATGTTAATTGCAGCATTATTCACAATAGCCAAAATATGGAAATAATCCAAATGACCATCAACAAGTAAGTGGATAGGGAAGTGTTGCATACACACATAATAGATTCAGCATTTAAAAGGAAGGAAATCTTGATTTGTGACAATATAGATAACGCTGGAGGACATTATGCTAAGTGAAATAAGCCAGTCACAGAAAGACAATTACTGCATGATGCCACTTATATGAGTTATGTAAAATAAAATTATAAATAACAAAATTATCCAATACACACATTTTTATGAAAAAAATCATGAAATAGAATATGTCCCAGTGAAAATATTTTCTGCTTTTTAAGCTCTGATCATTACATAGAAATTAACATCTAATAGTTTCTTCCCTAAAGTTAGAACATCTCTTTAAGAGAAGGATTTGATACTTCTACTGTCCTGGTTTCACCAATAAAAGATATATCTATATAGGAATATGTCTTTATTTATGTCAATCAGTATATGTATATTATTCACATATATATATATCTAACATAGATCAGACAAATAATTTCCGAAAAAATATATTGAGTTAGCATTGATCTTATTTAATAATCATTCATAAGGCATTTTCAGTTAGATTCAGAATATCCCAAGTGAATTAAAGGGAGTCTTGAGGGGTATGAAAATATCAATTAAATGTTGTATTTCATTATCAACTTTAAACCAATAAGATACATTTTCTTTCAAACATAATTGAAACTTTTGCAAATGTAACTTCTCTCAAATAGAAATTAAATGACTAGTGTCTACAGAATATACTTTAAAACAATTATATGCATATTAATATACATTTTTAAAGATGAACATCAGCAATGGTGATTAATCTCTGTTACAATTTCCTTTAATTTTTTAAAATAGAATATATACCAATAAATTGGTAGTATAACAAAAATTTAAATAAATATTAGTTTTTAAGTTTGTTGTAACTGATCACAAATAAGTATAATAACCTCTGTGTTATACGACACATTAAATGTAATTTAAATTAAATAATATTTTACAGTCTATACTAACTGGAATTATTAAAAAAGAAAATATACATATGGAAAAACTTAAGCTCAATTTCTTTCAGATATCTAGAGGAAAAGGAAATAAGATAAGAAAAAAAAAACACCTTTAGTAAAGAATAGAAAGAAAATGATCTCTTGTAGACCAAAGATTTTTGTGAAAAAAATAAAGTTTGAGAAGACATAAAAGATAAATATCAAAGCAATGAAAAGAAAGAAAAGGAAGAGATTATATCTTGGAAGGTACTACTGAATACATTGATAATATTTGAGTCTCTTTTATTCATTTCCTTTATATAATGCAATAGAATGTTCATTTCTTTGAGAAAGTGGTAACCCTATATATCAAATTCATAAAGGCTTTCTTCACTTGTTCATTTCTTAAGGTGTAGATGAAAGGGTTCAAAAGTGGAGCAACAGAGGTATTGAGCACCGAAATT